CAAACTTGCAAGCTCGTGGAAAGTTATGACAGCATCAGCACTGAGAAGGGCATGCCTTTTTTTCAGGCAACGCTTTCCAAAAGATGCGACAATCAAACGCGAAGAAATCATGAGCCCATGCTCATCCTCATCCATCCACATCCTCATCAAGCCACATCTTCATCCATCCTCATCTACTGTATCCATCTAATTATGGGAATCCAAAAGCATGTATATACTGTTGTGTCGTGTTGTCGACGTCACCAGCCCGAGTAGAGAATGGACATTCCTATGGTACGTTTCAAGTTCTCAAGATCTTTTTTTCCACTGTATTGAAGTAGGGACACCTGTCTTTTCTTTGCAGAATTCGGAAGGAGAAGTATGGAAATGAAGATGTCAGAATTCAGATCATCTAGGAATCGTTCGACGACCCCAGAGGTCGTGCAGCTAAGACTCAGCTTGTGTGCTTCCCAGAGGTCGTCGGCACCAACCCAATCGTTGCTGCCACCTGCATCGATCCGAATGAAACGGAACGGGTGCGGGGGAGCGACGCAAGACCGATCGTTCACAAAAAGAGACTCCAGGCCTCCTTTCACTCTTCTCATGCATTCCTCCAAGTTATTTAAGGTCACCCAAGAGTGCGAATCGAAGGTGTCGTAGGTGAAATACTTCCAATAGGGATTCGTGGCGAAGTCCTTCTCCGTGTCGGTGGGTTCTTCGTTCATGCCAGGGCAAGTGCTCTCACTGGGTAGGACTGCAGTGGTGGCTGCAATCTGCAACTCGGACTTTTGCTTGCTGGTGAGCGCAAAGGGATCCAAACAAAGGAGCCTTAGATACCAGGTGAATCTCACAGTGTTGCGAGAGAGCGAAAAAAAGAAAATGGTGATTAAAACAATGTGAAGATTGCGCTAGGCTAAGGTTCACCGCGGTGAATGCCTGCAATTTTGTGAATGCACCGCATGGTCTCCTCATGCGCTCATGGTTCTTACGCTCTTCATGCCCTGAAATACATACGCTTTTTGTGCACATTCTATGCGCTTGAAACCAAGCACGGGTGGCGGAGCAATGAAAAATGGGTCTTGGTCATCTGGGCGGATGTGTCAATCAATCCTGTTTTGCTGGGTCGGTCTGACGGTGGGCGGATGCGACACCTCGTGACCATACTCGCTGGCTTCAATGGCCTCAAAGGTAGGAATCATTCGACGTACGGGGTGCACGGCAAAAGCCACCGCAACTTGCATGTGCATCCCATCCAATGCTCCAACCATGTCCATCAGGCCAGACTTTTGTTGACTTGAGTATATAATCACGTGCTCACGAAAACAAATCGAGTCAGAGCGGGGAAAGCGCAATTGGACAACCTTGGAAGAGGTCGTGAGCGCAAAGCTGACACAGGAAAAGATTTGGCCGCAAACCGTTACCTTCAGCCAATCATAGGGGCGACTGATGCACCATCGAGATTCTGCCACTTTTGTTGAGTAGGCCACATTTGGCATTTTGTCAACTGCATTGTTGCAGGATGGTTTTGCAGACTTCGGGCCAAATCTTATGCTGGCTGCACGGATTGGTGCCCCATTTCCGGTGCCATTGTCAAACTATGGCCACCCAAAACCTCCAAGACGTCTGGCCACAGAGAGACCAGAGACTGACATGACAGGGAAATGTGAGACTTTGGTGACCCTTTCTTCCTTACGTTTTTTCAAACTAGCACTTTAAATGAACCTTCCTCATACCGGAAGGCACGGTATGAGGCGACAATGGTGATAGACGCTTTGTTGGAAGTCCAATAGCCATGTGTTCTACAACGAGCCCATAGAGTCATGTTACTCTTCGCACATTTGGAGTGCACATAAATACTAATTGCTCTAAATCGAATGATCCCCACTATGGCATGTCAATCATTTGTTTGCATGTCATGGTGGGCCACGAACAGTCAAACACAGTGACTCACGCAGCGGTAGTGTGTTTGTGATTATTGTGCTTGTGGCTGTGTGTCTTGAATTGTGTGCTTCTAGTCGTGTTTCTGACTGTGTGCTTGTGGTTGTGGTTGTAAATGTGTTTGTGGCTGTGCTCGTATTTATGCTTGTGCTTGTGTGGCTGTAGCTGTGCTTGTGGCTTGTCTGTTAGCTTTGTTTGTTGTGTAGTGAGTATATTGTGTTTGTGGTTTGTCTGGCTGCGCGTTCTGCGTTGAGGTCCGGCAGTGCCCACTGCGATCTCGCACTTGCATTTGAGGTCCGGTAGTGCCCACTGCGATCTGGCGCTTGCGGTTGAGGTCCGGTAGTGCCTACTGCGATCTGGCGCTTGCGGTTGAGGTCCGGTAGTGCCTGCTGCGATCTCGCGCTTGCGGTTGAGGTCCGGCAGTGCCCACTGGGATCTGGTACTTGCGGTTAAGGTCCGGCAGTGCCCACTGCGATCAGGAGCTGGCAGTTGAGGTCCGGTATACGTGCCCACTGCGATCTGGCATTTGCAGTTGAGGTGCGGTAGTCAACGAGAAGAGGAGAGGAGGAGAGGAGAAGAGGAGGAGAAGAGGAGAAGAGCTCTGTTAAAACCTAACAACCCTCACCTGGCAGGGGGGAAGAAGAAACGCACGAGGTTAGCATCCTTGGGTCTACGTTGGTGTTGGCAGCTGAGAAGCCCATGTGGCAAAATTGCCACAAGCGCAAGGGCTAGTCGCGCCATTTCAACTTGATTGTCACTTGAGCAATAACCTTGCAGGTCATGCGTTCAATCCTGAATATGCCCAGGCTGGACTGCTGGAAAAAGTGATGCCTTGGACTGTCTACAGAGTTTGTTCTTCACAGAAATGAATCAAACCAACTTGATCATGTCTTCATCTCTTCAAGCTAAACCCTCCTGGCCTCTCCTTCTCAAGTAAAAGCCATTCACGGCCTCTGCTCCCGCTCCTGCTTCGAAGCACATCGAATTTCGGACTTGACCAGAGGTGTGCCACCCTCAAACATCCTCAAACGAAAGACCCAAACCCTTGGCCCTTGGCGCTGCCACCCGGTTTGCGCTCAAAGATCCTAGCGCGACTTGCGGACAGTGCCACAGCCCGGTTCAGGGCGCTCATGGTCGACACCGTCCACACGGCACTCCACGGCGAACCCACTCCACGGCGGAACCCGCACCCGCCTGGGCGCTTGGGCGCCGCGCCTGGCGGCCCCACCCCTGGGCCGTCCCGAGCCCGCCTTCCACCAGAAAGGTGCATTGTCTCAGGGTGACGTACAGGTGGGCATCGTTCGCAAGATGGATGCGCTCCAAGCTCTCGGAATCCAACAGCACACCACCTGAGCCAGCGATCCGCTTTCACGTATATAACAGGGTTCAGCCCGAAGTAGCAGTGCTTGGAAAACAGAAAAAAGATACGATAGCAACAGACTGATTGCACCCATTGCGCAGTCCGAACCAAACTCGTTGGTGTCATGTTGAGAACGGGTCCCTGTCTGGTCTCGGGTCTGGGCCCCAGCTGGCGCTCCTCGCCTTCATGGATCACGGTCGCGACGGTGTGGCCTTTGCCCAAGAAGGGCCTCAGCGCCTGCTTCACCCTTCGGCCCGTCCAATCCAAAGAGACCTCCAAGGTGGCCACCTGCCAGTCGGTACGGATGTCGACACGGTGAAGACAGACACCGGTGCACGTTGAAACTCAAGTGCGAAGGGCGAACGGCTGAGCTTCGCGAGCGAACGGATTATAGTTGCAAAACAAGGATTCCAGTTGTAAAACGGCATAGCTCAGACTTGGGAGTGAACCGAGCTTCAACCGGACTGAGTTTGCACCTGAAAATCACCGGCAACTCAAAGAGCCTCCTCCCCGGAGAAGAACAGCACTGGCAACTTCAACTTCTGAACATCCTGCGTTGAAGCTAGACGAATCGGAAGCACCGGGATGTGGTTCGCTGAGTCGTAAAGGTCACGAAGGCAAAATGAAATCCCTTGGGCTTTGCAATATGGCTGTGGGTCAAAACCCCCAAGATACCTTGGCTGACCAACCCAGACTTGCGGACTCACCTGAGCGCTTCCCATGACCCACGACAGCGCTTCCCTGGGTGTCCTCTTCCAGGTCCACCTAGCAGGGGTGCTCCGGCTTTTGACCCATCCCCATATCAACCAGTCAGAACTGGTCTCCACCGCCACTCGACCCATTCTTCCGTCGTCCTGCTCTTCGGACGAAGGTCCACCGCTGCGACGCTTCGGCGCGGAACCCGGCGCGGTGCCACGGCGCCGAAGCCTGTCGACGTCTGTCGCCGATGCGGACGCTTAAAACGACGTCGACGTCGACACGTTGCGGACGGTGGAAGCAAAAACTGGACTGAAAGAGAGGAGAAGTGGCTGTAAATGGGGCGACTGATCCCAAAGATATGCACAAGCACGCGCCTGTGCCAAAACCGGAACACAGAGCAGTCACAGAAAGCCTCGCCGCTTGCGGGTTGGTGTCTGTCTTTCATGAGCACAAAGTACGACAACTGAGCCAATGGATTCTGCACAGAAAAGTTTGCTAGTGTCATGAAGCCCTTGTCCAGGACATCAAGCTGTAGTCTATTCAAAGCGCCTGCAATTGTAAGCATCCAGCGCCGATGTTGACTGCTAGGCCCATGGCAGCTCTGCCAAGCCCTTCAAATCAAGCCACTCCCAAAACCAAACCTGCAAAATATCTTGCTTGAGGTGGAAACCACTTTTTTGTGGGTTCAAGATTTGCACTAGGGGCGCCTCCTCCGTGCCACCAGCTGTAAAACGGCTCAAGCGGCGGACTGAAACTTCAGTCGGCTCACCAATATCAAACCACATGTTGGGGGTCCAAGTGGTTCTACATTTGCACACCTTCTGAACCTAAGTTGAAAGAAAGACCAGTAAGCATTAGATTAGATCAGATTAGGCTATTTGTGGCCCAACCAAAGGCATGGTCTTGCCTAACTGATCTTACGTGTCTCAGCATGGTCGTCAGCATGTCAGCTTGCCAAGAGCCACAACCCTCGTGGCTCGCATTGCATCCGTGAAATCCGGGGGCGACGATCCACCCAGCTGGCCTCCAGGCTTTGCGGCCGCTTTCTTGGCCTCGCACCGTGGCGTTCTGCCGGTGTGGGGCACGGCGTTCCCGGCTCCGCTGCGGACGGACGTTACTGCGGAGCGCGAGAGAGATTGGGTCGGTTCAACACTGGCAGCCCGCACCACGAACTCGAAGATCAACGAAATCAGTAGACGTTGATGGATCCAGTTTTAAATCAATCTTGTCCCCCAATGCTGTCAGCTTGGCTGTCTCCAAATCTCCGCAAGCTACCCGTTCTGCAGAAAAGCTTCCCCTCACCTCTTCCGTCGCAAACCTTCCATGTGCCTGACCACGCATGGAAAAGCGGATTGAACAATGAGTTGGTCGGAAACTTCCAAAACCCAACGAAAGCGCCTCAAGACCCTACAATTGGTCGTTTGTCCAAAGAATGCTGCGGGTGCCAGCCACTAACTAGAGCAGCCCGACAAAGGTTGGGAGTTGGTTTAGAGCATAGAGTGTACAATACAAGCAAAAGCTTGCAGTGGCTGGTGCTTGTTGGGAAACGGAGGAACCCCAAATGACAAGCGACCATCTGTTAGTACTTTCTCACTGCTTCCCAATTCTGCAGTGTCCGGGCCTGCCGTTTCTGACCCCTGTACACTTGGCGGTTGGGCCTAGGCAGGCAAACACCAGCTTCAAAGGTTCTTCAATCACTTGGAATGGTTCAAAGCAGACCCAACCTTTGTTGACAGTTGAGAGAATTCACTCGCAACTGCCAGCAATCGGATGGTGCAAATGAAATGAAAAAGGAACAAAGGCAATTCCGAAGTCTCGCAATGCTCAACGATAAGTCAGTCTACTTCATGCCGTCTACTTCATGCCATCTACTCTACCTATCCACTTTGAACGAGCCTCGCTGGGAATCCCCGCATTCCTTCGATGCGTTTCAACAGGCCTCCACCTCGGGATGGATGAGTGATGTTTCAACAGATCTCGTGGACTTCATTCAGGGCGGATGAAGTCAGGATCCATCGCAAGGCACATAGGATCCCCTTCCTCCTACTGCTCCAAAAATTGCACATAGGGACACGGAAGCAGGGGGTTGTGGGGGAAAAGGCTTTTTTTCGTCTATCGAACCATGTTTGGCGTAATTGCTTGATTCTCTGCAAATGCATGAGGGTATCCCACCCACCCAACCCAACAATCAACATCATCAACGCCAAATTGCACTCAAACCAGCCAACCATTCAACCACTGCCCAACCATTCAACCACCCTGGCGCTACCGGCGCGGCGCCGGTAGCGCGCCACATCCGTCGCCTTGCCCACCACGCCCTTCGTCCACATCTTCACGGAAGTCATCGCGCCATTGCCCCCCGGACCTCGGCGGTTGGGCGGCTGGGCCCCAGACTGGGCCGAAGACCCTGGGCCCAGACGGTGCTTCTCAAATACATCAAGGGAGAAATCATAGATAGGCGAAGCCTATCCCCCTATGCCAGGCAAGTGGCCTTCTTTCACAGGGTGCGCGCTGGCTTTTTCCGCACCCTTTGAACCTGCTTTCGCATGAACCATTGGTGGCGGATGATAGATTCAATCACATTTGCAAATCTTCTGCCATTGGATACACATGTATATACCCTCTAATTATCCAACAAACATCAAGCGTGAAGTGGGATGGGCCCCCTTCTTTCGTCTCTGCTTTGCTCCACCAACTGGGGGTGTCCACACACCGACCTTGCCACTCCAAGTCACTCCCCCCGGCCGAACTGACGGCCCTCAGTAAAGCCAGCGTCCAGGTCAACACCTGACGGAAACCGGCGGACGGCGAAATCGCATGCGGGCAGAACCATGAAAAACGATGTCACGGACGTGATGTCGTTCTGCCGTTCGATGTCGAGAATGCACTGAAGACATGCTTGATACACACCTTGGACATGAATCTTGGGAACCCCCAACGTCACTGGTTTTCCACCCCTTCGACCTCGGCCGACCTCGGGGCCGGAGATCAGATCCGGCGGCTCCGTCCCCTGCGGCCCTGGCGGATGACACGATCATCCAAGGTGATCTTGTTCCTCAGTACGCGCGCGCGCGCTGGCGCGCCCAAGCCCCTCGGTGTCCAGTCCTTTTTTGGCCCTGTCGAACAATTGAAGAGAACGGCAGGCATTGACAACTGGTGTAGACCAGTGTAGACCGAAAATGGATGCTGCACAGATTCCGCTTGAAATTGGAGTTTTGGAATCGACCGTCTAAGCCACATCCATATCTTTATCAAGAACGTCAAGCTCCGACATCCATGCCGTTGGGCCGCAGTAAGTTCACTGCTTGCTCCGCTTGCTCCTGGCACTGGTCTCTTCATTATGGTACAAGTGAGTGTCTGCAATTTCTGGTAGCTTATCGTCTTCAGCATCTGAGGCTCATAAGTGTCTCCGCATGTTTTGGAAGCCTAATTGAAAACTATCGCTTTCTTCCACATAAATTCGATCTAATAGCTTCCAATCCTTGACAACAAAAAGCTTCACCCGCCGGTGGCGGGTTCGCCCAAGAATGCACGATATTTGTCTCAGGCTCTGGCATGAGTAAAATACTCCACGAAGCAAAAGCCACACGGATATTTGTCTCTTCGATTGAGACCTTGGAGCAGACCGGAGTTAGTTGAAAACCAGAACAAGACCAACATTCAACATGTTGGTATCTTGAAATCCTACCAAGACCAAAAGTGTCCTGTTGGAAAAAGCGCGCACTGTCACTTAACGGTTTTCTGATTTGATGTTCCACGCGGGCCCTCGCTTCCTGAGCCTTTGGCCCATAATCACTCGCTTGATGTCGCCACACTTCGAGAACAGTTCATAAACCTGCTCCTTCACGCCAAGCTCATGCCAAGCAGCTAAAGGGTTGCAACAGTCTTTTCCACTCCAAAGGTTGTGGTCGTTCATCTAGGAAAAATGAGTTGCAAAATCCAGAGGCAATTCTCGGAAACCAACTCCAAAAACAGTCCTCTCTGGTGCAGAAAGCCATATTTCCCACGTAGACGGTGCGGGTGACCTTGATGGCCTCAAATCATGAAGATCGATTTGGACTTGTGGCCTTCCACAAAAGCCTTTCTGCCTGCCTCCGCCCATTTCTTGGGATCATAGCCCGACTTCTTGTCCACGTACAGGACCTGCCTTAGAGGCAGGATCCTCCAAAAATGCAAAAGAAGCCGTCTCAAACAAGGTGTTGATCTCCTGAGATTGAAACCATATGTATGAGAGTGCTTCCTTCGGGTGGTGTCTTGAATAACTCTTGTACAGCTGCACAACCCATTTTTTGCTGGCTGTTTTTCAGGCCCGTTCGCTCGGGGGTCCCGTTCCTGGCCGTTCCACGGCCGCGAACGCGGGGGAAGTTGGACCCACTGTCCAAGCGAGAAGCGGTGTGAGCTGCTTGTAGAGATGTGCCATGGCGGCAGATGACTCACACCATCCCTCCGTGGGCTACCTCTGGGCGACCGTCCGGATGCAACAAGACACCCAAGACCGAACAAAGCTGTCCCTCTCAGTTTTGGTGAGGAAATCAACCAGGTGAAGACCTTCGACCCTCGAACTAGGACCGATCATGACTAGTGACCTGTTCAGTGTTGTCTTTCCATCCGAACCTGCCACTGGAAGAGTGTTGACTATTTGGGGGCCTACTGGTGAATGTTGAAAGCGCGCCGCCATTTTCTAGTCTCATGTTGCTCCTCACGTCTTACTTGCTCTTCCTACGTTTCGGTGACCAACTTAGATGTCATTCTGACCAACTTAAACTGTGTTGCACTTCAAAGGGCTTCATTTGAAAGGGTTCAGGCCTTCTTTGGAGCCATTCTGTCCCTGAGATTCCCTGAGCCCTTCATGTGGAGGCAAACCTTTCGCAGTTAAACTTAAACAAGCTGTTGCTTGAGCCGCAAGAAAACAAGCATAGCATAGCCAGCAAAACATGATACGCTGTCAGGCAGTCCAACTGTTTGTGTCAAAGGCTGAGGAGTGAAACCGGAGAATCAAAATGAATCAAGGCTCAAAACTGTGACTCCCCAGCTCAAAAACGCCTTGCACACCAAACTCTGCTTACTTGATGGCCTAAACTGTGCAATGCAAGGCCTTCAAAGAACTTTTAGTACCCCAGAGAAAAGCAATGTATATATATATATGCACATGGCATCAACTTCATCCATCCCGGGAGCTACAGCGCGACACGTCGTCGCCGTGGTCGCGGCACGGACGAATTTTTTTCTTTCTTTCTAGCGGTCGTAGCCGTCAGCCCGCTGCTCCAGGGCGGTGGCTTTGGTGGCCCATTTCACCAAGGAAAGGGCCAGCTGCTTGTTACCTGCACCAAGGCGACCCGCCCACACGGGGACCCCTCTGAATTGTTCGCCAAGTGGCCCATGCGTTCGATGACCAGATCTTCCACTTGGGCCTAGAAGCAGGACCCCAACGACCCAGCTGGCAAAGTACACATGCACGCCAGGCCCTTTTTCATTGTATATAATATATATATATATATATATGCTACCCCCCACCAATACGCACCTTTTGCGTTGAGAGTGGCAGACCAACCATGAATGATGATCATGGATTGCAAATGTTGCAGGTGCTTGTGTCGCTTGATGGTTTGCAGATGCTTGTGTGGAATGATTAAGTAGCATTGATGAATGAAAAGCAGGTTTGGTACACCTGACAGCAGTCGAGTGCAGCAGACATCTGTTTCATGACCAGACAAAATCTGGTCTCAGAATCAGATGCTACTTGTTGAAGAGATACTGAGACATTGTCCTTGTGACCAAGTCACCAGTATGCAACCATAGGAGATCCGCGAAGCCAGTACTCATACTGAGCGGATCGAATTTGGGCTTGGATAGCTTTGCTTCCAGCCTTCACGTTTTGATTGCGGCGGATCCGTTCTTTAAGGAACCGCCAGGCACGGTCGATATGCTGCGTGCCTGCTTTGACCTTTAAGGCTTTGCCTCCTGGTAGCTTGTGAGAAACGACACGGACATACTGCGGAGCCCACAAGGTCTTCTTTTTGCAGTGCACCACTGCATGATGCAGAACACCACTCACCTTGGTCCGGCAACTTTTTGCAGAATCCGTGTGGAGCACCACCTTTCGACCAGCAAGACGTTTTCCCGCCAATGGTGTCCAATCGACTTTGTGAATGGCACCTGGGCCTGGAGCCCTTTTGACTGACAGCTCAGGTTTGAGACGGGTGAGGACTAGTGTGGTAGGTGACATCTTTGGTGACATTCGCGCGATCGAACGTGGCTTCGTCAGCCTCAACGTCGACCCAGGTCTTGCCAGCGCCAAAGGTGATGCGCTTCTCCTCTTCCTCAACGTAAGACTTGCGCACGGAAAGCAGGCGTGAGCGCAGGTTTTCAATCATCTTGCGATAGCATCCCAAAAGCAATCGGCATTGAGTGTTTGTGACGCCAGTCAACAGGAGAAGCAGCAGCGCCGCCTGTGCGCCCGATGAGACTTGGAAGACAGGATGTAGGTGGCGCGGCACTGTGTAAGCCCGAAGCTTCTGATGGACACGCCTATAAAAACAGAGGCCGCCGGACCACTTGGGAAGGAGTCTGTCCTGCTCAGGGATTGACAAGATCTTCTGGTCTGATGCATTCAGTAGTTCGTCGATGGACCGCTTCCAAGTCGCAAGTCGCACGGTCCGAGCGGACACCTGAAGCTGGTAGGTCTCGGGCGCCGCGGAGGTACTTCACCTTCTGGCGCGGGGCGCTTGTGAAGAATGCGAAGTTTGCCGCGCTTGGCGACTATATGCCAGGGTTTACCTTGGGCGCCATAAGGCAAACGGCAGGGCAAACCTTTACCAAACGGCTGCAGAAGTCACAATGCCAGAAGACAAAGTCATTGAAAGCCAGCGCAGGTGCTACAATACCAACACCAAGTTACTGACACAGCCTGTCATAAGTTTGCAGACGACGATGAACTGGGACTGTGAACGCAAAGCATCATGAAGGAAACAGCGCTGACATTTGCATGATCTAGACAATGGCTTAGCACATGTGGAGGCACACAACGATCCGCAAACTTTTCACCATAGGCAAAAAGTTCATCGCCAAGCCGACTTGTCATATCAGCGTCAAGACTGTCAGCTTGGTTGCCTTCATCCCTGACATCCTTTGCCTGGTTCCGTCCCCAAGCGCATTGGCAAGTTCGTCTATCCACCACCAAACAAGAGAGTGCCGGGCAAGACTTCGCCAATGGCATCTTCACCTGCACACATGCCTCCAACACCCTCGCAAATTAAAGAACAAGAGCCTGCTGATGATTTTGCGGCCGATGAAGAGGCTGCCACGCATTTGTATGAGTGAGATCCGGTGGAGGTAGTGTCCGTGCGTGCTGGGCTTCGGATCTGAGTGGAGCAGCAGATCTTCAATTTCGCCATTGGCATGGGATACATACTCTTCCGCTTTTCCAAAGCTCCCATACACCTCCATGCTCTGCCGAATCACGCTCTGCTCCTTCTCAGTAGCCTCTTCAAAGCCAGGTGGCTTCTCTATACTACCACCTTTGAACTTGCCGTAGAAGACCTTGTCGCTATCGGCCAAAACATCCTTGTGCAAGTTTTGAATCTGAATGCGATGGATTGGCGCATCGTCTTGCTGGCTGGGAAGGCGAAGGTATAAAGCAGACAGACCGAAGACGAACACCACGCTTCTCTTCAAGATTGCACGGATGTCAGCTGGCCTGTCACCAGGAAAGGTACGGCGTAGCAGGGTAAGGAACTCCTCCACGCTGATGCATAGGCGCTGGTCCTCTTTGGGTTCATCTTCTTCTTGAACGTCGTTGGTAGCATAGGCCCTGCAACAATGTTTGGCCAGCTTGTCGCAAAGGACTTCAAATCTGCCAGGTAAATCTTTCACGGCAGGGATCATCCAGGAAGACTCCTTCATGAACCAGCCCCACTCGATGGCGAAAGTTGTCTAAAGACTTTGCCCTTCGCCACAGAGGCATGGTAGCGACCCATTGCCAACATCATGATGATGATTGCAGGAGTCTTTCCGACTCCTGGCCAGCCAGGAACATGAAACCGAAGTTCATCCAGAGCGGGTACAGAAGTGGCAGCAACTTCTCCGCGAGGAAAGGCTTGAGGGAATAGGTCTGCAATGGGAAGTCTGTTTCCAATTTCGCTCCTGCCATTCCCTTCGCCTTGTTTTGTGCCATGACACGCACTTTCCAGCCAGATATAGGTGTGTCAGCATTTTCTTTTATATTGCTCAGCACCCAAAAGTATTGTTGGTTCTCAGAGTCGCACTCTGGTGCGTTCTCATTAATGTACCGAATCCCAGCCCAAAGTTCTTCATCTGCTGGTGCCCACTGAGTAGATTGTGATCTTCTCACAGGCTTTTCAATTGTATTGCTGGAAACCAGGCAGCCGGCCAAGCAAGGATACCAATGCCTTTTTCAAAACCCGGGGGCCAGGACGAGAGATGAGGCCACAGGGAGTGCCAGCACAATACTTCAACGCATCCTTTGGGTTGACCTTGTCCGCAAAGTAGAGAGTTTTGATAACCTGCAATGCGCTATCTTCCATGTTGCGCGCCACTATGCCCATGCGACAGCCATCAGGTAGCGCGCGAGGAAGAAGAATGCCCTCTGGCAAAGAGTGCGCATTACGGTTGCAGGTGCAATCTTCCAGCGAAGTCAAAGGAGCAAACTCAGGCACAGACATGTGAACATCAAAGAGGACGGTGAGCGCAGTCATGCCATTGAGCTTGCGACGCACGCCAGCAAGGAAGGTGGACAAGGATGAAGGTTCTTCGATCCCAGCCTCGGTCTTGAATCTTGAAAGTGCAAGTTGGAGCGTGCAAGGCGCGCAGAGTCCAAGACCTTCCACCATGTCTTGCCATTGCTGTAGCCACAAGTGGCGCCATGACAAACAGCAGATGACAAAGCGGAGGAGAATGCTTGAGACAGGAAACTTAGCAGAGGGACGTCCGTGGTCTCTGGCTGTTGTTAGTTGCTGAAGTGTGTGTGAAAGTGTCAGCAAATGACTTTATAAGACAGTGATCACGCAGACATTGATTTTGCTGTACGCGTTCACGCAAACAAGGTCTTTTTAATTAAAACTCTGCCACATTGCTTGTAATGCGTGCGACATGAAACTTCACTTGCGTACTCTGAGTGCAGTATATCAAGAATGAATGTCTCTCTTATTTTCCTCGGCATGAGCTGACATTTAAAAATCCGTGCGAAAACGCACGAAGTGAGGCAGGCCCTCAATCAGAATACATCATAGCCTCCACGTCTGCCTCACTCTCCTCTTTCTGCAGCCTTTCGATTTCCCGCTCCAGTCGGGCAATGACCGCTTCTTTCTTCTCGATGGTGACCTTGGCTTGTTTCAGCTCTTGTTGACACAATGGTGCAAAGCTGAGAAGATGGCGTCGAAGTCTTTCTTGGCCGTCCAGAGCTGGTTGTTCAATGCCACTTCGCTGTCAGTGGGCTTCTTCTCAGAGGATTCAGACTCAGAGGAAGAACCGGAAGATGCACTCACTGCGCGCTTCTTTTTGGCAATGCGCTGTGACTTGGACTCTGAGGATGACGAAGATGAGCCGGAGGATTTATCCTTGAGGGCCGGCAAACCCTTCTGTCCCTTAAGAGGCTTGGCCAGCAAGTTTTCGAGCCGTGCTTGTGCTTCTTGAGACCAGCCTACTTCCACCAGGTAGACGTGCCATGCGCTGAGCGTTGCCCAAAGCATTGTGTAAGGCTTTTCTGTCCATGGGCTGACGAGTATAGGATGAACGAAAATGCTGCCCTCGTTGACTTTCAACATGAGGTCTTCCGGACTGGGCTGGCACATCTTCACCTCCGTTTCTGGTGTTGTTGGTAAAGTCAGCCGAAGGATTGCGTCCTTGTACGTCACAATGTCCAGCCACAGAAAACGACATCATGACAGAGACACGAAATAGATACAACCACAAGTCTTGTTCAAGAAACCAAGAACCAATATTGCACAGAAGTCTTGGGCAAAATCTTGGTTCTGATGAGAAGGTTTCCTGGGACCCAGAACCAAGATTATCCCCAAGACTTCTGAGCAATCTTGGTTCTTGGTTTCTTGGTTCCAGGGAAATCTTAAGATTTCCTAAGATTTCTGCAGGTTTTTGAACAATGTTATTGTTTGCTACTTGTTCTCAGATATAATCTTCACCTGAGGACATATATATATATATACAGATATATATGGTACTCCCCGTTCAACTAACTGATAGCTTATCATCCCCAAACATGGTACCACCCCTCCAGAAAGTATTCCAAACAATCATGTGGAAAAAGGTCTCAAAATATCACTCAAAAAAAATGAGTTCAAAATATCACTAAAACAATGTAATTTACAGTATAGAACACACAAAGGGTGTGTATTGGAGGGGGGTATATCTGTGTGTGTGTGTCCGATTGGCCAAAGACTTCATTTATGTTTGTTTGAGGACAACACCAATAACGTGTGTCTTCCGCTGACTTTGGTCTACTGTGAGCTTGGAAAACCAACGAACAACTTCGTACTCTAACTTGATGCAATGAAAAATGGTTGGCTCGCACCTCGCCGTCCCAGTAGCGTCCAAAACAGCTGGTGGCTTGAGGCGTCAACGCCCCTCCCACCACTGCAAGTGCCCCTTCCGCTGGGGAGCGCATCAGAAGCATTCCTGAGCGACAGAAAAGAGCAGCTCGGCAGGAGATGAAAAAGCGGAGCCCGGGGCCCAAACACAGGACTCCCAGTGCTTATAGATGAATGATCATGCCGAGCAAAGCCACAACACAACCTAGGATTGGCCATCATGCCTGATCGTTAAGTCAATGTATCATAACATAATGTATCCACAGTAGTCTCTCAGACACGACGTGCAGCACCTAAGTCGCCGTAAAAGGAACCGCGCATATCTATTGGAAGCTCAGGAGCATCCCACCAACCTTGTTGGTTGTGTCACCCTGGAAGAGAAGAGATAAACATGCACGTCATCGCCACCTACCTTCAGCAACTAGTTACTAGGGACCTCCCTCTATTGGTCTTTGTTCCACTCTATACACCAAGAAAGAGCTACCATGCTGCTGTTTCGCTGTGTTCAAGGTTCTTTTCTGCAGCCATCCGACCAAGCTGCGCAGGGGCTTGGTAAAAGGCCAAAGCCATGCTGGAACAACATGCCTTGCAGCTGGTGAAACACGTCTCTCACAAGTCCAAGCCATGTGGTTTCTTGTTGCCGAAAGGAAAAGAAGATACCGTAGACATTCATAATGACTCAGCACTTCTTGCTTCCGCAGTTCCCGCAGTTCCCGCTCGCCCTCCCAAGACTTGCAGGAATGAAGCAAAATCGATGCCAGAACAAGAAAGAAACTACGGTCCTACGAACAAAACACAAAAAACAATAAAAGAAACCTACAGTAATGGCCCTTAAAAAAGGAGCTCGCAATACTCCGAGCTCGCAAGATGGAACGAGAACAGCAACGAAAAACCGAACTCGACCAGTTCACTCGCCGGTTCTTCGCGGATCCCTTCGAAGCCTTCCAAGGTCGGAGTCCACGATGCCCGGTGACGCTGCATGGCAGAAGAGGCCGCCCTTAAAGGCCAAGCTTTGTGCCCGCACGGACGTCCTGGCGGGTGCGGTGGGAACAGCCGTCCCTGCGGTGAAGAGAGGTGTCACCCCAGGTGGACGCGGTGGAGCATAAGGGGCAGTCGGTGGCCCTTGTGTCATGGCTTCACTTGGGGTGTGAGAAACAGCCAAAAAGGAAGCGAACGATTCCTTCACAAATGGCCATTGCGAAGCATTCACCACAGCGGGATGATGTCTCAGACTTCTTGGAGGCTGCAAACCGCCCTGCAAACCGCCCTGGAAAGCCGCTTGCTTCCAGCGCCCCAGGGGGGTCAACAGCAGACTGGATCGGATCTGGGGATCTCAAGGCTTACAACAAAGTCTCATCATCTCAGCTCGCAAGCTCTGTGAACCTCGCGAACGACACAAAGAAAACAAAAAGCCTGGACATTCCATAGCCTGGGAATCCCGGTCCAGAGCATCAAGCCTCGCTTGGAGTCCGCATAGGGGTTCTCCCCCACCTGCAATGGAAGCACTCAAGAAGACCCACTCAAAGGGCTGGTTAAGTTTGTGGTTTTCTTAGAAAGAAAAGAATACTCATGACTCATGTTCATACTGGTTTGGAAAAGGCATTAAGAACATTGAGAGTTTTGATGAGATTCTAGCATTCAAGGCGGCCATTTTTCACGCGTCCGTTCACAGCCTTTTGTGTGCTCATCTGCAGTTCCCTTAATGATTTAAACTAGCAAGGCCCAAACATAACATCCCAAAAAATCCTCAACTAAATGCAGCACATCGATGGAAACCTGATTGCTTTCTGAGGTCACCCAAAAAGATGCCAAGTCTGCCCAGCCAAATCGCGCCTCGCCCCGAGAGTCCCGTTTGGGCCCAGCCTCGCCCCGAGTGACTGCGTCCAGCAGGTGATGGTCCAGCTGCGATCTCTTCTCCAAACGACTGGAGACGTGGACGACCCTGGCTGCGTGGGGAAGACGTGCTTTCACACGGTCAACACCCGTGGGGGATGGATTTGCTTCTTGGAATCTGTGTCAAAATTAGACCAGCATAGACCCAGATAGCTAGGCAGCATCCCACGACCTGTTGACAGGCGACTGGCTGGAACAAGAATGTACACAGCCTGTACGCACAGCCAGCTTACGGCGCCTCCACAGCGCGCGCAACCAGCCGACACCAGCACCGGTGCGCTTTGCCAGCTGACAACACCGGCGGCGGGACCAGCACCCGACCAGCGCCACCGCCCGTCTTAAACGCACGCTCAGCCACCAGCACGCAGGACCACAACACCAGTTCGAAAGTGCGCGCCCAGCTCATTCTTATTTGCACCCATAGCTATTCCTAGTGTGATCTTGCGCGTATAAGTCTATGCGCACAAAAGTACGCGCGCAAACAGCAAAGCCCGTAAGTGTCATTGGCCCAAGGCCAAGCAGTATCCAGCGCCACTATTGCCTTTGTAGCATGCTTGAAGCAACGATCTGTAGAACGATAAGGCCGTATGATCTTGCGCGTATACGTTTATGCGCACAAAAGAATGCGCACAAACGGCAAAGCCCGTAGGCTTCACTCGCCCAAGGCCAAGCAATATCCAAACGACTATTTTGTGTGTAGCAGGCTGAAACACGCTGAAACAATGGTCGGTTGAGAGCCTGACGCTGCGCATAGAAATTATACAAAAGTATGCGCGCAAACAGTACAGCCCTTGACACAGCCGTCGGCCAAAACAGAACCTGAAGAGTGTAAATACCCCACAGCGCTCATAGACAAAGAACGCTCAAGCGACAACACCGTATGATATTGCGTGCATAAGTTCACGCGGCCCATGACTGCTGGCACTTCACTGTCAGAAGCGGCGGTTGGTCGGTGGCACCCAGCACCCGGCACCCTGTCTCCACCACGTGCACAGCCAGCGCCCAGCACCAACACCAGTAGCGGCGCCCGCCAGCACCAGCACCAGCAACCTGTCTCCACCACGTGCGCAGCCAGCTCACAGCACCAGCACCGGCGCCTGGCACCTGTCTCCACCACAGCTCATAGCAGCAGCACCAGCACCATGCACCAGCACCGGCACCAGCAACCTGTCTCCACCACGCGCACAGCCAGCGCACAGCACCTGCACCCAGCACCAGCGCCCGGCACCGGCACCGCCACCGGAACCCGCACCAGCACCGGCACCGGCACCCAGCACCAGCAACCTGTCTCCACCACGTCCACAGCCAGCTCACAGGCACCACCTGGCACCCAGCACCAGCACCTGCAGACCGGCACCGGCACCCGGCCAGCACCGGCACCCAGCACCAGCACCAGCAACCTGTCTCCACCACGTGCACAGCCAGCTGACAGCACCAGCACCGGCACCCAGCACCCAGCACCAGCACCACCAACCTGTCTCCACCACGTGCACAGCCAGCTCACAGCACCAGCACCGGCACCCAGCACCAGCACCGGCACCAGCAACCTGTCTCCACCATGTGCATGCACAGCCAGCCCACAGCACCAGCACCGGCACCAGCAACCTGTCTCCACCACGCGCGCAGCCACAGCACCAGCACCTGCACCTGGCACCCAGCACCAGCACCCAGCAACCTGTCTCCACCACGTGCACAGCCAGCTCACAGCGTCAGCGCCGGCACCCGGCACCCAGCACCAGCACCGGCACCAACAACCTGTCTCCACCACGTGCACAGCCAGCACACAGCGCCAGCACCGGCACCCGGCACCCAGCACCAGCACCGGCACCAACAACCTGTCTCCACCAGCTCACACAGCACCGGCACCCGGCACCACCAGCAACCTGTCTCCACCACGTGCACAGCCAGCTCAAGCTCACAGCACCAGCACCAGCACCGGCACCCAGCACCAGCACAGCACCGGCAACCTGTCTCGAAAGCGCGCACGGGCAACTCATTGTTATTTGAAGTAAGAACCCCATAGCCTCGCTATCTGGGGAAAAATGAAACACAGCCTGGGCGTCCCAAAGATGTCAACGTCTTTTTCCTAAGCAACACCAGCAAATCAGAAGCTCTAGAGCCTCCTGCCCTTAGTCTCTCTGGCACAAGGTTTGCGCCAACTGGGTTTCAAAAAGGGCTGCGCCGTGGTTCCCTGAGCTCGACACTGAACACATCTGTGCCTTCTAGGGTCCGAACACCAAGCCAAACGATGAGAAGGATGCACAACAGGCCCAAGGAAATCCGCGCTGCTGGAACAGCAAGGTTTGCCAGCTAAAACCGAAACCTTGTGTTTACCCCAGTAGGCCAAAATCATGAGCTCACAGCGTGTGCAGCACCGCCTGCTACCATACTCCTGAGAAAGAACAGGACCCCACAGGTGATGAGAATGCGTGACGTGCAAAAACTGAATGAGCTCACTCCTAGTGGCAGGCTTGGGGCTACTCTGTACTTGCAACGGTTTACTGATTCCTGGTTCCTTCTGGCTTAACCAGAATCTGGCAACCTCAATCAAACGTGTCTGGATCCTGTGCACTCTAGCATCTACCCAGGTCAGCAGTTCCTGTTTAGCTCTCAGGTTCAGCGATTCAGCAAGCTGATCGGCAAAGGTAGAAGCCGTGTGATCAGCCTCTGCGTTAGCTTGGTGCATCCACTGCTGGTCTGGAAACAGTCGCTCATGTTCTGGCTTTGACAGGTGAGAGCGCGTCCAGTGAATTTCTACCTCAGCTCTTTCCTTTTTCTGCCTAGCTAATGGCCCCCAGATATCCAAGTCGGCAGACAGCTGGGCGATGTCTTTGAGTTCTTCCATTTCCTAAAAACAGCTTTGGCATCGCAGCTTTTAACTGGGCCTTCAGTCATTTCTAGCAGCTTTAGAAACGGACAACACGCGGGCCATACCACCCAAGAAGATAACGAAGACGTTCTTTTTGAACCGCTGCTGAATGCTGATGTCTTCATTTATCAGCTATGCACCTCCTCTGCCAAATCTTTCTTTGGTGAGGGTGGGTGGGAAAACAAAGCCATTTGACCTTGCAGGGATAGGGACTTGAGCCAAAATGGCATCAAGCCACTGTCCCCACCCAGGCCCTACTCAGGGTTGTCACCCAGAAAATTCCATTCTTCCATTTTCTTCTCAGACAACACGCGGGCCATACCACCCAAGAAGATAACGAAGACGTTCTTTTTGAACCGCTGCTGAATGCTGATGTCTTCATTTATCAGCTATGCACCTCCTCTGCCAAATCTTTCTTCCGTGCTCTGCGCAGAAGAGGTGCATTTCAGACAATTCACCTTCGTCACGTCCATCCCGAAAGTGAACACCGAAGCCCCGTAGAACCAACCGCACTTCGTATGCCAGGATGTGACGGGTGAGGCCACCGGCTGCTTCTTGTTCTCATGTACCGTTCCACTCTTCGAGAGGATGACTGGTGGTAGTAGGCCTTGATGATTGTTGGAGATCTCCTCCCACTTCAAAATCGATGCATCGAGCTGATCTTGTTTGTCCTTCAGCCTGTCCAGCTCCTTCTTCAACCTCTTCTCCGTTTCTTTGCCTTGTTCTTCGCCCTTCGTTACCACCAACTTCTCCACGACCCGTTCATTTCCTCCTCTTCCTGGGTTCATACCTGCTAGGTCGATCGCCTTGTTCATCACCGGCATGGTTTCCAGGGCCTCTTCCGCGTACTGTAGGATCACGTCGCTCTTCCATCTTCCCAGAAAAGCCACCTGGGGCACGTGCCAACCCCGTCTGATATATTGCAAGGCCCCTGACCTCCTGGCGGAATGCCCTGAGATGTTCTGCCCAAATAAGTTCCTCCAAGCTCCTATGATCTGGTTCTTTTCTATTATACCTTCGCTGTCGCCATGTACTAGATGATCTTCCTCGATCGGGACGTTGTCCAAAGCTGCTTTCGAAATCGCCAAAGGACAGGGTTCTGACCAGTTGCATTCCTCCGGGCAACAGCACTGCAGAGTCCTTTTCAGTCCTTTGGCTTCCTGGTCACACTTCGTGAGCCTCAGGGTCAACGCCACCGTCTTCTCCTTCTCGTTGATCACGATGTCCCCCTTGTGGACTGCCGCCAGTTCCACCTCCCGCAGCATCCAGACGGTCGCAAACCCAAACATGAGGGCTGGTCGGTGTACTGGGCCCTTCAGCTCTTCGTTCGTCTCGATCTTGCAGGCTTCCATCCACTCCACTTCCTCCACTTCAGCCGCCTTCTTCACCGGCCCCCTTGCCCTCTTCAATGCACGAGCCACTTGTCCGAATGTCCTTTGTAGTCTGTGCGACCACGTCTTGCCCGCCTCGATCAACATCTGCTTGTACTCCGATAAGTAGGTGACCCCTGCTTTATAGTCCGCTTTCTTGAGCACAGCGCCCACTCTTTCCAGTGTCTCCTCCGACCATTGTTCTGCTGTCCCCTTCGTGCCCAGGTTAAGCAGAATCTTGTTGACCGTTTTGCGCACTGAAGCCTTTGCCCTTCTAGAGGAGTTCGCATAGTACCCCTCCTTGAAGTCCTGCAGGCTCTTGTCTCGTTGCGGTCGGTTCAACCTGAAGATGCGAGCCGTCTGTATTGCTTTCTTCCACTTCTCATTCTTCTTCACCCTTTTTGTTCGCTCCGGCTCTTTAGGCATGTCCTTCCTCCGCCTCTTCTCCTTCATCCCTGAGCCTTTACCTTCGCCGCGTCCACCACGTTCGCGATGTAGCCCCCGTCTCCCCTGAGAGCCACTCGCCTTCAGCCTCTCCTCCCTTTCCGGTTTCTCTTTCGAAGTCCTCCTTCTCTTCACCAAATGGAGCAATCCCCCGCTTGATTCACTCCCCCCTTGACAGCACTTCCATTGGAGGTACCGGTGGAAAGCTGAAATCGAACTTCTCTTCTCCCCATTCTTCGTTCAGTCCAAAGCCTTCTGCGTCACGATCTTCGCCCGGGCACACCTCCCTTTTGTCCGCACCAAATCTCACAGCTGCCAGCTGTCCTTTGTGTTGAGCCTCCTGGTCACCAACCACTGCATGTCCCT